GTATGATTTTTTTTTCTTTTTCTGGCTGCTTCGGGTCTTACAGGTATGATTTTTAATTACCAGCAGTTAAGTTCATGTAAATATCAAAGAAAAAATTTCATCCAGCAATGGGATGATTCAGGAGCCTCTCTCCATCCCTCAGTCTGTCATCTGTAATAGGAGTATAGTATTGCCCCTACAAAGACTGTTGTCAGGATTCAATGAGATGTCTCTGCCCTCCAAAATGACCACCACACACACTGACGAAGTAATCAAACAAAAATTTCAATGAATATATTCAGTTGAATGGAGTTAGCTTACATTAGAAGGCTTTTAGGTTTTCTTAGACTTTTCTATGTAATTGTTATGAGGCCAAAGTAAGCCTCATATATGGAGATGTCTAAGAAGTAATGCGTTTTCATATCCTAATTCAGTAACTTCTACTTATCCTTCAGATCTCAGCTATTTCTGACAAATACCGTCTCTAGCCAACCTAAATTATGTCCCTTTCACTCTTCTCCCTCATAGTATCACGTTCTCCCTAAGTTAAACTAATTAAGGTGGTCTTTACCATGGTCCACCAAGCACCCAAAACAGCAGTATATTATATAAACTCCAAGGGCAAGAACTGTGTCCATTTTGTTCACTAGGCACAAGTGTCCTACAGAATCTCAGTGTAACACTCATTTAGTCAAATTAACTTTCTTCCTTGAAAAATTAGTATCAAAATAAAATTTAGGGGCTTCCCTGGTGGCGCAATGGTTGAGAATCTGCCTGCCAACGCAGGGGACACGGGTTCGAGCCCTGGTCTGGGAAGATCCCACATGCCGTGGAGCAACTAGGCCCGTGAGCCACAATTAGTGAGCCTGCGCGTCTGGAGCTTGTGCTCCGCAACAAGAGGCCGCAATAGTGAGAGGCCCGTGCACCGCGATGAAGAGTGGCCCCTGCTCGCTGCAACCAGAGAAAGCCCTCGCACAGAAACGAAGACCCAACACAGCCAAAAATTTAAAAAAATAAAAAAAATAAAATTTAAAATTTCACTTAATTACTAACAGTTCATACACTTTGCAAACAGTTCAGCAGTTTCTTACAAAGGTAAGGTATATGCTTGCCAACGACTAAGCAATCCCACTCCTAAGTATTTCAACAAGTAAAATGAAAACCTATAGTCACACACAAACCTATATGTGCATATTTATAGCAGTTTATTCGTAATTAATCCAAAAGTGGAAACAACATCCCTCAGCTGTAAACAAACTTACAGTCATTAAAAAGGAACAGATTACTGATATATGCCAAACAGATTAATCTCAAATGCATCATGCTAAATGAAAGAAACCAGACTCAAAAAGCTACATACTGTATGAATCCAGGTATGTGACATGGCTGCAAAACAAAATTGTAAGCACAGAATACATAGCTCAGTGGTTACCAAGGGTTAGAGGTAGAGAGGGGCTGACTACAGGGGAATTTGGGGGAGGGGGAGGGGTGATGGAAGTACTCTATACCTTGATTGTGAACTGCACTTATCAAAACTTGCAGAACTACATAGTTTATAAAAGGGTGAATTTTAGTGTTAAATTACCTCAATAAAAAAATGGGGAAAACTTCTAAATCTCTTGCTAAGTTTTCTAATAACTCTTTGCTTACTTGTAATTATTGTAACATTAAGTTTTCTAATACTCTTGCTTACTTGTAATTATTGTAACATTAATTTAACAGTATCTTTGTTGTCATGTCTTTCCCACAGAGACCACAAACTGAGCTCTAAACGCTTAAGAGATCCACAGGCCTGCTGAGGGCTGTCCAAGGTAAATGACAATTTCACTACTGATTTCACTCATTTCTGATGACTGCAGGACTACAGCGTAACCTTCTGTTTAGAAAAAGACAAAGCCATATAACCTTTCAAGGTTTCCACTGGATCAGAGGTCAGTGACCTTTCAGGAGCCATGTAGCAATTTCCTAACAAAGGAAGTTTTCTTTTTTCTAAATCACTATCAACTGAGCAAGCCATGTCAAACTTCAATTGTAGTTTTAACTAGTCATGGAAGTTCCCAGAGGCTGGCAAATAACAGAGGACTCCGATGAAGTGAAAAAAGAATACAAGTCACAAAATGTAAAACCAGATCAGGAAAATAAAATTTCAGGAAGGTTAAAAGGAAAATACATCTTATTCCTCCGTCTAATGAAAGTGCATGTTCTCCCCCAATCACAGGATTGAACACTCATGCTGTTCACTCCCTTCAAGATACAGTTCCTAACTCTGTAATGTAACTTGAATCCTCAACTTACTATACTTATTTCTGCAGCATTTCACGATGACAAGCATCTAGCATCTATCAATGGACAACATGAAAGGGCATCTTGACACACAAGTTAGTTGTCACCCCTTTTCTAGAGTTGCCCATTTCAGGAACTGTGAATATACAGCCAGGAACAGCTTGTTCTTGAGCTCAGTGCTCAACTCAGCAGAAAAGTTAACTAAGATAAATACATTTTAATAAAAATAAAACCCATAGTCCTGTCCTGATAATATTCAAGATTTTTACACATTCTGCAAATTACTGAAAATCAAGAGCTCTTCACCACTTCAGCAGTTAGCCTTTGTTGGGCAGATCAGAGAGAGCTCAAATAACCAGATGAATTGCTCTTGAAAAAGCTGCATCTTCAGAAATTGCATCTAACATCATACCTCAAAGTCAGCCTCCTAATTTGGCAATTTATTATTGACACTTTCCAACAAGATTTGTAAGGTGTAGTCAATTTACACTTTTGTCTAAAAAGAACATTTAAAACAAATATTCAAAAAACGAAGGTGAAACTAAGGTGATTTGAGGTGTTTTGAGGGCCATAGGGGAATATTTAAACATCCGTCTCCAGTTAAAACATTTTGAAATTACCACACTGAAACAGATTAATTAGTTCAGAGTAAGTTGTGTCATCCAGATAGTTGAGCTTTGATGCATCTGAGATTTGTGAGATAAATTATCATTAATTAACTGTAGAATTATAAGAATAAAATTGAGTTCTGACCTACCCAAAACTCACTTATTCTAGACTATTCTGGAAATAAAGGGTGAGTAATCACAGTATTTTTTTGAAAATGAGATACACATTACTGGCAATCTGTTAAACTCCTGAACCAAAATGCCTTTCTCACTCTTCATATTCTGAAATCACACCAGAATCCCTGGCAAGAAATTTCAACAAGATTCCATTTGAGCGTCCTTAGTTATTTTAACAGCTGGCCAATGTAGAATGTGGTTTAGGGACTTCTCTGGTGGCTCAGTGGTAGAGACTCATGCACTCCCAGCATAGGGGGCGCACGTGCCACAACCAAAGATCCCACATGCAGCAACTGAAGATCCTGCATGCAGCCCCAACTAAGACCCAGAGCAGCCAATTATTTAAAAAAAAAATATGTGGTTTAAGGTCAAGCACCAGTTTGTTTTATAAATCTGCTGGTTAATCAGCTCATATACATGGAAAGGCAATTAATGGAAAAAATTCAAGTGAGCAAAACACTCCTTTATCCAGAACCCAGAAATCCATGTTTCAAACTAGTTACCACCAGTAGGTGGTGCTCACACATACAGACTAGAATCCATGGAGTATGCAAACTGCCCTATTCTCCCATTCCTACTCTTCCATTTAATGAAAAGCAATTTTCTGCAGTGAAACCTTCATTGTGGGGAAGTCAAATCCCTTGGTAAATCCTACAGCTGATTTGTGTCTATCAGCTACCATTTATACTAGCCAGCAATGCTTAAAAATTCTATTCTTGCCTCTAATCTTCATAGTAAACACCATTACTTGTCAAAACATTAAGGGTCAAGCTGGGGACAAAATCTTTTAATCATTTAGAGCCCTTTACCAAGGGCCTCATGTGTAAGTGAGAAAGCATTTTACCCAGAAAAATTAAAAATACTCCAATTGCAGTTAATTCACCTGTGTACACCTTACAGGATGCTTTCTATTAGCCAAAAAAGCCTATAGGATATGTATCTGGTGATTTCACCAGTTCCAGCTACTTTTATTTCCCTTTCATATCCTAAAAGCCAAGATATCAAACAGAATTAGACGGTTTCCTCAAATGCACAAGTGTTTAGATTCACCAAATATCAAAACCAGGTATTTACATTAGACAGTTGTCAGTTATACCCTAGATAAATTACTATTAACTGCAACCGCCTAGTGTTTCCCCTTGGTGACCAGTCCCTTGCAATTTACAGGTTACCAAATTATTATAGTTAAGAGCTATTTTCACCCTGCCTGAATGTCAAATTTCAGCGACTTTCAAATTATAATCTTCCAATGTTCCTTTCCAGTAGGTAGTTTTTAAAATGGAACTTAACTTCATAAAACATTTTCAAACTAGAATTTAAACTTCTCCTACACTCAGTCCCAAATGGACCTTAGTATTTACCACCATACCTCTTTAAACTGTTTTAATCTCCAGCGTGGCAACGTTCTTCTCTTTACCCAACTTTGCTCATTGGATGAAAATTCCTATAGAAAGTGAATTTCTATTTAAGTGACAGGAAACACACTTAGCTTCCAGCATTTTTTATTTTTTCCTAGAATCTGGATACAGTAACTCTATAAAGGCAGTGCTCAATACTACTTAGGCTTCACATTTTACGTTAATTACTTGAATATTGTAAATGTGAATGCACTTTCCCGTAACTGGGAACTAAAGTCTCACGTAACTCATTTACTCGATACTTATGTAACCATACAAAATTTTATATGCAACATGAGCTTTCATATTATAGAATGACCTTACAAACTAGCTTATGTAAACTAACTTATCTGTCCTAACCTGTGTTGTACCGCCTTTCTATGATGTACTTAAAACAGGTGAATTCTCCTTACACAAGGGTAAGAAACCTGAAGCTCCAACCCATAAATATAAAATTCTTTTTTCAGTAGACTTAATACCAGAAATAGATTACGGACAACTCTTACCTAAGTAGTACAATAGGAAGTTACAGTGTTGACCAAAAGAAAACACAGGCTTCTCATTAAACTTTTTTAATGGGTCTCAAATTCTGTGACAGATTTTTGGTCAAGTTGTTTCCATTAAAAAGTACTGATTTTAAAAACTAATAACTTAAAACTGCCACACACAAAACAAATGGTCCACAACACATTCTCCTTTCCTTCTGAAGGTTTTACGATGCATTGTTATCATTAACCAGTCTTTTGCTATTAAACTTAAATGGCCAATTGAGACAAACAGTTCTGAGACCGTTCTTCCACCACTGATTAAGACCGGGGTGGCAGGTATTGGGGATAATATTCATTTAGCCCTCTGAGCTTTCTGGGCAGACTTGGTGACCTTGCCAGCTCCAGCTGCCTTCTTATCCACTGCTTTGATGACACCCACAGCAACTGTCTGTCTCATGTCACGAACAGCAAAGCGGCCTATTAAAACAAATATTACCGTTAGAAACACTTTTTTTCCCCAAACCTTTAGAAAAGTTTTTAATTACACCAAAAAAGCATCCTTACCCAGAGGAGGATAGTCAGAGAAGCTCTCAACACACATGGGTTTGCCAGGAACCATATCAACGATGGCAGCATCACCAGATTTCAAGAATTTGGGGCCATCTTCCAGCTTTTTCCCAGAACGACGATCAATCTTCTCCTTCAGCTCAGCAAACTTGCAGGCAATGTGAGCTGTGTGACAATCCAGCACAGGTGCATAGCCAGCACTGATTTGGCCTGGGTGGTTCAAGATAATCACCTGGAGAGAAGACTTGCATTTAATGAGTCTCAAAGGCACTTAGACTTACAGCAGTAAATAAAAACCTGTCACTTCACTGTTACCTGAGCTGTGAAGCCAGCTGCTTCCATCGGTGGGTCATTTTTGCTGTCACCAGCCACATTGCCACGACGAACATCTTTGACAGACACGTTCTTGACATTGAAGCCCACATTGTCCCCAGGAAGGGCTTCACTCAAAGCTTCATGGTGCATTTCAACAGACTTCACTTCAGTTGTCACATTGACTGGAGCAAAGGTGACCACCATGCCAGGTTTGAGAACACCAGTCTCCACTCGACCCACAGGGACAGTGCCAATACCTAAAATGTTTACAGCACATAATAAATACCTCGTATGAAGAGACAAGACATCATAGCAACCCCAACAGGTTCTAATCCTAACGTTCAACTTACCACCAATTTTGTAGACGTCCTGGAGGGGCAAACGCAAGGGTTTGTCAGTTGGACGAGTTGGTGGCAGGATGCAATCCAGAGCTTCAAGCAGTGTGGTTCCACTGGCATTGCCATCTTTACGGGTGACTTTCCATCCCTTGAACCACGGCATCTAAAACACAAGACAGTCAGTGCTACCATCAAACGCCTTTCCGGGACAATCCTAAAACTCTTGAAAATCACTTACGTTAGCACTTGGCTCCAGCATGTTGTCACCATTCCAGCCAGAAATTGGCACAAATGCTACCGTGTCGGGGTTGTAGCCAATTTTCTTAATGTAGGTGCTGACTTCCTTTACAATTTCCTCGTATCTCTTCTGGCTGTATGGTGGCTCGGTGGAATCCATTTTGTTAACTCCAACAATTAGTTGTTTCACACCCAGAGTGTAGGCCAAGAGGGCATGCTCACGGGTCTGCCCATTCTTGGAAATACCTGCTTCAAATTCACCAACACCAGCAGCAACAATCAGGACAGCACAGTCAGCCTTTGAAAGAAAACAAGGCCACATCCTGTTAAACAAAAGCTCTTCAAATGGAGAAACTCATGGCTTTGCCAATGCAGAAGACAGGCCCAATTATTTTCAGAAGTTTTTAATCCTACAAACCTGGGATGTGCCTGTAATCATGTTTTTGATGAAGTCTCTGTGTCCTGGGGCATCAATGATGGTCACATAGTACTTGCTGGTCTCGAATTTCCATAGGGATATATCAATAGTGATACCACGCTCGCGTTCAGCTTTCAGTTTGTCCAAGACCCAGGCATACTTGAAGGAGCCCTTCCCCATCTGAAAGGATTAAGAATGGTTACTTGGTAACTAAAACACGACCAAACTCCAGCATGAAATCCCTTCCCCCCACTTATTCCGGAAAAATGCTGCATTCCATTTAATATCGATATACTTGGGCGCATTCGCCTTTTTCTCGGAAGTTCGCGTTCCATGACTTGACCGCAAACTCCGCAACGTTACCTTAACTAGTACAAGTCAGATCTAGACCAGAGGCCAGTTCCTGGAAAATTACCACTTAACGTACTTGCTGACAAGCTCCTTACACCATCCTGTTTCACCTACCTCGGCAGCCTCCTTCTCGAACTTTTCAATGGTTCTCTTGTCGATCCCACCACATTTGTAGATCAGATGGCCAGTAGTGGTGGACTTCCCCGAATCTACGTGTCTGATGACGATATTGATGTGCGGCCTCTCCTTTCCCATTTTTGCTTAGGTTTAGCGATGGTTTTCACGACACCTGTATCCTGGCGGCAAACCCCTTGCGAAAAAGCACATGACACTTTTTGAATTATTGTTTTCTCCAACTGCAAGCAGCACTATAATCGGCGCCAAGCTGACCCAACTCTGGTCTCCAACCATCGAACGTGGCGGGAACACTACCCCATCGCGAGGAACCAAGGTGCCAGGACAGAGCCCGTCCGCCGCGGGGTCACAGGAAGTAGCGCCGGGCAGGCATCGGCCCGGTGCCTTTGTGTGGTGACTCACCCGCCGCTCCCTCCCGGGCCGCCGCGTCCTCCATTTTGAGGCCGTGCAGCGGGCCCGGGGAGCGGCCATCTTTCCGCGCACGCAACTGGTGCCGGGCGGGGCGGCGCTCGGCTCGCCCGGCCGCCGCGGCTCGCGGGCCCCGCCTCGCCCCAGC